TGGCACCCCTTAAACAAATTCTTTCCATTTTCCCAGGGAGAGGAACACACATTCTGAGTGGACTAAGAAAAGACTTCCAGTGACCTCATGCCAGTCCAGGTCGGGTTCAGGATGGGGACTGGGTTTGCGGAGACGTGGTCTGCAGGGACAGAGCCTGCAGGGATGGGGCCTGCAGGGCGGGATCCAGGTGGCTGTGGGGCTCCTCTCTCTCCTCCCCTCTCCACATCCTCATTCTCTGCAAGGTTTTCTAAGTTTTCTTAAAAATGCCTCAGTGTCCTCAGCTCTAACATGGAGATGACACTGCCCACTTGGAAGTGTCCCTTGGGCCCTGAATGGGTTATAGCAGGACAGAGCTTGCTGGCAAAGTATACAGCTTGCTTGCAAAGGTGCAAGGTGCAAAAAATAAATTTTAATTGTTTCATGAATCACTGTGATCCTAGAAAAGCATTTGCTTTTTTTGAAACTCAGGAAGAAATGCAAAATGGGAAAGGGGATGGTCCCAGTAAGAAAGGCACTTACTGACCAAAATAGAATAGAGGCCAATGTCTTTGTTGCTAATTTCTTTCTCTGTGTGTGTGTATGTGTGTGTCAGTGTGTGTGAGACACTGGGTCTCAGTTCACTGCTCAGGCTGGAGTGCAGTGGTGCATTCGTGGCTCACTGCTGCCTCAACTAACCAGGCTCAGGGGATTCTTCCACCTCAACCTCCTGAGAAGCTGGGAGTACGGGTGTTTACCACCATGCTCTGCTAATTCTTTTTTTGTGGAGACAGGATTTCACCATGTTACCCACACTGGTCTCAAACTCCTGAGCTCAGGTGATCCACCTCCTTGGCGTCCTAAAGTGCTGGAATTACAGGCGTGAATCACTACACCTGGCATTTTTGCTAATTTCATTACAACGTAATCCAATATACTGGGGGACATCACAGAGTTACTTGCTCTTACAAGAAGATAAAGTAATGGGTAAAAGCCCCAACAATGCCCATCAAATTCCCAGAATAGAGGTTAAAAAAAAAAAAGAGAATGAGCAAGAAGAAATGAAAATTGGATTTTGTTTTTACACGTCCTGTGAAGCTGCTATCTCAAAGGGCACTTGCTCAGAGGAAGGGTTTTCTGGACGTCATGGGGACAGGAACCACTCTGCTTTGCTCATCGGTTACGCCAGAACCTCATGAGGGACACTAGTTGTAGATGGTTTTCATGAGAATATAGCACTGAGACCAAAACTTGATTGAAACTAGAAACCCACACGTGGAGAAAACCACTGGAGCTCTGCAGAGGATGCAAGCCTGGCCACGCATAGAGGAAGGGACGCTGGACTGCGTCAGTGGAGGGAAGACCCCTCAGAGGAAGTAGAGCCGCAGTCCCCAACCTTTTTGGCACCAGGGTCTGGTTTCATGGAAGACTGTTTTTCAGGGACCAGGTTAGGGGGGATGGTTTTGGGATGATTCAGGTACATTACATTTACTGTGTACTTTATTTCTATAAATATTACATTGTAATATATAATGAAACAATTATACAACTCACCATAATGTAGAATCAGTGGGAGCCCTAAATTCGTTTTCCTGCAACTAGATGGTCTCATCTGGGGGTGACAGTCACTGGGAGACAGTGACAAATCATCAGGCATTTGATTCTCATAAGGAAAGCACCATCCAGATTCCTGGCATGTGTACTTCACAATAGGGTTCGAGCTCCTGTGAGAATCTAATGCCCCTGCTGATCTGACAGGAGGTGGAATCCAGGCTGAAATGCTCTCCCAATGCTCACTTCCTGTGCTGCGGACCAGTTCCTAATAGGTCATGGACCCATAACGGCCCATAACCCCATGGCTGGGGATCCCTGAAGAAGAGAAACTAGCTTGGGACACAGGAATCATGAAACAGGCCTCCAAATAATTGGGCAAAACTCCCAGAATACCTGGATGGCCAGAGAAGAGATAAGGACATGTAATTAGCAACATAATTTCAGAAAAGACAGATGCCCTATCTTAAAGAAGGAGGTCTGTTATATAAATATCTCCAGCTGAGCTACTGTGGCCAAGAATTTGCAGTAAGCCCTCACCACTCCCCTCCCTGGCCTGTTTTGATAGCCACAGCCTGCTCTTGTGAGAAGGAGCCAGGTGACAGAGGAGTCATTGGGACAGGAGAAGAGGAGGTTCTACCAAGTGGATGTCTGTGCTTAAAACTGCATCCAAGAGACAGATTCAGAACAAGCTCAGTGTCTAGGGCCTGCTACAGAGATGGTCTGTCTCACCTGCACAAGTTGCAGGAAACAAAACATATAGAGGCTGCCTGGGATGACAGTGGATCTTTGTGACCTCCAGGATAGAGTACTCACAGGCTCCATCCAGAGCAGAGCAGGCAAACTGATCCTCCAATGAGTACAATGTGCTGCTATAAGGCTGATGGCAGTCAGATAGGTCATGGTGAACTGAGGGAGTCAAGTAAACTTCATTCACGGAGTTCTCTGGGATTTCCTGCTCCTTCACCTCTGGCAGCTCCTGGCTGAGCCTGGGGTAAAGAAGACAGAAGATAAACATCAGAGAGAACCAACACCACTGCGCCCAGCTGGTTCTATAGGGAGGGCCTCAGGAAGGCCCAGAGGAAGCAAAGTATAGTCCCCTCAGAGAGATGCAACCATCCTTCCCTGTCTCAAGGAGGAGACACATTGTGACAGGCTCTCAGTGCACTGGGCAGGCAGTGATCTGGGGAAGAAGGTAATGGAGTGATCCGTGGGAAACTGCCAGGACACAGTGCATTCGGCACTTTTGCATACATTTTGTTGAAATTAGCATCAGTGGCCAAATGAATGCAGGCTCTTCAGTCTTCACAGACAGTGTTCCTGTATCCTCAACATCTCTTGTTCTCAACATTGTGAGCATGACATGAGTTATTTTAAATCACTTCCCTGGTATGGAATACTTAAGAGGCAAACATCAGATGTGCAACTCAACTTCTCTTTAAGCAAAAAGGACAGAAAAGGGAACTGCAGAAAATGTGTGACTGATGAGTTCAACAGAGTCAACTGAATGCAGATTAGTAGAATTGAAAGGAATTAATAAGGAAGAAATATAAATACAGGTGTACAATGAAAAGAGTCAACATAATGAATACAGCTATTTCATGGTTGACTGAACAGATGGAACAGGTATATTCTGTACACTCTGATTTTCCCTGCATCCGAGACTCCGGATATCAACACTGAATTAACTTTCCATGATTCCTCAGAGTTACCTGGGGCACGGCGGGTCTTGATCTTCTACCTCCTCTTGATCCTTTTGAATTTCTGTAAATAAATTGACAAAGGGACAGACACATGAAGCAGGTTCCCCCACACACAAACAATGCACTGTGCAATCCTAACATAGGAACATCAGTTTCCTCAGTGAAAGAAAAGGACACTGTGAGAGAAACATTCCAGGAGGCCTGAGGTCCTGTCATGAAATCTCCCTGTTCTAGTAGATCATTATCCCAACATCATCTGTTCTGATTTTGTGCCAACAGTTATGCAAAATTTTCACACCAATTGAAGGCAAATACTCCAGCTGCTTTCTAGAAGGAAAACTGTAATATTCAGCCTTCTATCATCAAATACTCACATTGTTCATGGTTGCAAGGAGTTTAGACACTGAAATTCGAATGCAGGAGGGAATCTACACACCCTCCAATCAAAATGAATCTTTGGTACTACACAGAGACATTGGGTATTCGTGACATCTAGGAGTGACAAGGCCCAATCTTGTTTCTAGAAACATAACCAAAGGTAATGGACAGCTCAGCTAAAACAGGATAACATTAAAGACATAGAGAATGAGGCTAGGTTCTTTGAAACCTGGTTAATATGTTTAACAAAAAGTAGACAAAGATGCCACTGGCCTTGGGCAGGCATAGAATCTCATAGCACATGGTTGGGGAAAGAAACCTGTAAGGAACACAATAGCTGGCAAGACAAATCTTATTCACATTAAGAGACCTCACTGATACCTGTTGGGCACGTGCTGCGTAGGTTGGTGTGAATTTGTCAATGTCGTGACAGTGGGCCAGGGTGACACAGGCATGGTCTGAGATGAGGAAGAGAGAAAGCTCACTGACCCACCCCATGTCTGTGCTTCCAACTTGATTTTTGATGCTGATGCAAACTATCCTGTGTCTGTGAGTCATGCCCACAGTAATGCCACGTCTCAGTCCAGACAGGGATGTGAGGTGCAAGGATTATGGAGTCTACCTGGCATAATAACTGGAGATTTATCGTGTTCACAATGGAGTACTCACCGTCTACAAGAGCCAAGCTGACTTGCTGTTCTTCAAAATAGTACAAAGTGCTCCCATAAGGGCGGTAGGAGTGAGGTAGTTCAGGAAGGATGGAAGGAGTCAAGCAACATCCATCCAGTGACTCCTGGGGGACTTCATGCTTGTCCACCCTCAGCAGTCCCCTGCTGAGCCTGGAAGGTAGGAAAGAGTAAGGATTAATTCAAGGAGTTTCAGAGCCCTGCTGGCTTCACGTGAGGCAGGAGGCAGTGATGGCAGAAACAAATGGGGCAGCCCATTAAAGAGTTCAATATTCTCCTCTTCGTGGTGGGTCACAGTGTGGTTACCATGGAGTAGGTTGCAATACAGAGAGAGGGAAAGAGAGATGAGAGAGAGAGAGAGAGAGAAGCATCAGGAGTTCAGTGAACTGCCCAGATCACGATTTTCTGAGGAAGGAGACTGAGTCTCTCTGTATGGTACAATCGTGACTTACTGAATATCCTGTTCCATAACAGTGGCTTCATTCCTTTCTTTTAAATGGTATTAAATTTTATGTGCAGTGGCCAAGTAAACATAGGTTTTGTGGCATGATAATATCCCCCAAATCGCAAGACATCAAGTCCTCTTTCTCTCAATATTGTGCATGGTATAACAATAATTTTTTCTACCTAATTTCCTTGCCTTGAAATACTCACCACTGTGCTAATGCAAAATCAGCAGAAAACAAATATGCATCTCAGGCTGATGGACACCATAAGAAAAAGATACTTACTTTAAGGAAATCTGTGTGACTGATTAGTTGTTCACAAGGTCAATTGGTTTTATGTACTGAACTTGAGAAGTTAATAAGAAATGGCAAACATTACAAGTATCACAATGAAAAATGTAAAACATGGTTAGAAAGGATCATTTCTGGTTGGCTGAAGGGATGAATTAGGTATATTCAGGACTTTCTGGTTTTCTGTGGATATGAGTTCCACAGATATCACCCCTGAATAGACAGCCCCTGATTTTTCTCAATTACCTGGGATCAATTGTTTCTTGTCCTTTCACCTCTTCAAGATCATTTCGCTGTTCTGTAAATAAATTAAGAGAAGA